TTTATGAGATGAGATGTAGGTGTTAAGTGGTGGTTGTGTAAGGTGTAAGTGTAGTGGATTGGTGTGTGGGATCTTGTAAAGCAGAGAATTTTGCATTTATCTGGTCTGAAGGACATTCGCCATAGTCTTTCCCACTGTTCTAGCGCGTCAATGTCTTGGAGGAGGAGTCTACAGTCGTCTTCAGCTTTTATAGGTCGAAGCAAAAGGCTGTCGTCAGCAAAAAGTCTAGTAGAAGAGTTAGTAGTCGAAAGTAGGTCATTAATGTACAGAAGGAAAAGAAGGGGGCCAAGAACGGTGCCTTGCGGGACACCAGAAGAGACAGGGACAGGGACAGAAGATACGACGTCGAGTAAAACACGTTGGGTCCTACACCTCTAGAAAGCAGTGACCCAGAGAAGTATTGGTCCTGTGATCCCGTGATGTCGTAATTTAAGAGTTGGTCTTTTGTGGGGAACTTTGGGGGAAGGGTTGGGGAAGGGAAGGGAGAGAGGAAGGGGAGGGCAAGGCTGGGGTTAGGAGATAATCATGAGATGAGTGAGAGGTCCGGGAGTCAATGGAAGGCCTAGAACATTGGGATATCGAGCTCGGTGATATGGATGGGAGTCTGATGAGAGGCATTATTGGGGTTGAGTGCTTGGTTGTATGTTGGTGAGAGTGGTGAGTATATGGTGTGTGGGGTTAAGAGGAAGAAAGTGTTGTAAGGGAAGGCTATTAATGTCTTGTGAATGGAGTGTGTTGAAGGATTTGGAGAGTGTAAAGGGGAAGATGCGAAAAACGAGCTTGAGAAATTAGGAAGGCCACATCCATCGCAGATCCACGCAACGCTAATGTTAACTAATCCAGCGTATGACTGTGTGAAGGAGCCGATGCAGCTGACATGATACCAGCCAGCATGCTCGGATCTCTCACAGCAGTTATCGCACTGGATGGCCCTCTGACCTCATTTAACGGGTACTTGGGGCGGTAAGGGCCAGGGTTAACATTAGCGCCGGTATCACCTGCAGGAGAAGGATGGTGTGCCTGGGATGTTTAGTTGTCTTGTAGTGTTTATCAGCGTACCGTAGGGTTGCGAGGGTGTGGAAAGGGTCAGTGCTTGTGTGTGTTGTGTGAGCATTTAGTTGTTGATTCCTGGGTGTCTGCGTGTTTAAGGATTTGTGCATGAAGTGTGAGTACGATGAGTGTAAGTGTAAGTGCACGAAATGTAATGTGTAACAATACGTGGCATCTAATATCGTTTTCTCTTACCTTTCTCGGATGAGAGGCCGACACTTATATCTGCACTGGCCTGGAGACTATTACAACCAATATGATATTGTAAAAGAGTATACTTACGTTGCCACGGTAACTCCTATGGCGACTGGCACTGAGGCTGCCGAGACTACCCGGACTGCCTGTGGCACTACCTTCGAAATGGCCTGTGGCAAAGTGAATGAACAAACATTATATTAGCTTTTACATCACACAGCATAGAATACAGAACAGGAAAATGTTACAATGTACACAATTTATATAGATCAGTGAACGTATTTTCAAAGTTACACATTTGAGAGAACTGCTGTTTTGGGATTGTTTTATTCCTCTTCATAAAAGTCATAGCTACAGTGGTACTCAAAAGATAAAATGCAAGCTTTCATTCTATATTAGCAGCGATTTTGTAATATCAAGAAACCTAAAGTAGTCTCAATGGTGCAGAAAACAAAATAAAAAGCCAACTGTAAAGTGATGTAGATTCCCAGGAATGGGGCAGAGCCAAGCGGTCAGCAATAGCGCCTCAAATGAGGTGTCGTGAAGAGAATCAGCCACCAGGTCGGATTTGTCCTGGACAACTTTGGGCCATCGGAAAGGAAGGCTTTTGCTCAGCTGATCAGCTCCTGGCAGCTGATTCTCAAATGGCGGGACGACCAATCAGCAAAAGAAAAGAGCTAAAAAGGGACTTGTATGAATTCTTAACATATAAGAAAAGTTCTAGATTTAATATAAAATAAAATTTGTCTTTCGCCCTGATGAACACTACACTGCCAACAATACATGCACATTACAACATGAAAATATTCGGGAGAGTAATATCGGCTGTATTCTTCTGAAATACGGAATGCAAGGGGCTAAAACGCCAGGGACTTTTCTCTTACATAAATGCTATTTTGTGCCAAGCTCCCCCTTTGAGGGGACCCGAGCCTGTGTCGACTGATGCCGACTCGATTAGACCGTGTCAGCTCGTGCCGACTCGACTGAGCTTTGTCCTTACCCGCCGTGGTGCCCAGCCACAGCAGTAGCCTAAAGACTGTTGAAACTCCTCGCGCCTGTGCGGGGAGCGAATCGCAGACCCCTCGGATGAGAGGCCGACACCGATCTGCACTGGCCCGGAGACTATTACAACCAATATGATATTGTACAATAGTATACTTACAGTACCATAAAGAGTAGTGTGTCCACAAGAAAGGTACTTACTGTAATGAATAAGCGTTCCAATAAGATTGGCTTCATATTCAAACCGATCTGTGGCAGAGTAAAAGAACAAACATATTAGCTTTTATATCACGTAGCATAAAAATACAGAAGAGAAAAATTTACAATGTACACAATTTATATAGACCAATGAACATGATATTTCCGAAATTACACAACTGGGAGAACAATTAGCTGTGATTTTGTAATATCAAGAAACCTAAAGTAGTTTTAATGCTGCATAAAAGAAACAAAACAAAAAGTCAACTGTAAAGTGATGTAGATTCCCAGGAATGGGGCAGAGCCAAGCGGTCAGCAATAGCGCCTCAAATGAGGTGTCGTGAAGAGAATCAGCCACCAGGTCGGATTTGTCCTGGACAACTTTGGGCCATCGGAAAGGAAGGCTTTTGCTCAGCTGATCAGCTCCTGGCAGCTGATTCTCAAATGGCGGGACTCGACCAATCAGGACGCGCGTTCTAATCCAGCCAACAGGATTGGTTTGATTGATTATTTAAATCAAACTGACGCGTCAACAGGCTAGGTCATTAGCGGCGAATCCCTTGTGGGGATGGAACGTTCAAATGTGTAAAACATTTTAAAATTAGTACAGGAGCCAAGGATGATTTTGGGGTCGAGAGGTCCCTCAATCACTCACTTGATTTTTGTGGGGGTCTCCTGGGGCAACTTTTTAACGAGGATGGACATGCTGAAACCCGGCAGTAATGGAGCTAGTCAGTGTTTTGTCTGAAAAGTCAGCACCCTCGGATGCATAAAAAAAATGGGGGTAGGGGAACTAGAATAACAATACCTTTTGAATTAAACAACATATAGCCATGCATGACCACTCATTTTGTAGCTTAGGAAGTAAGCTACAAGATGAATGTAAGCAGGACTACTCAAACATAAGGTCAAGGTCACCAGAGGTCACACAATGGTGAAATTTAACACCAGTCTCAAATATAGGGCCTTCATACCGGAAATGGAAAATATTTATGTATTCTTAAATATTTTGAGTATTACTACAGGGCAGATACCAAGAAAGTTTTTAGAACCAGTTTGAACCTGTACTGAAATACTATATCCCTTTCAGGTCTCTAGATATTTGTGCTTCATGTCATGAAAATGCTTTTACGCGTCATTGTTTTCAGCTTCCATCACACAATCTTCGACTAATATGATAAATTCTTGTCATTTTTTTTTTAAATCTTGTATTCCGTGCGGTGTAGCTAATGGTAGGGGTGGGGCAGGAGGCCCATGCCGCCCAGGCGTTACGGAAAATGTGTATTTCAAGCAAGTATTGGCCAAAAATGTGTAAAATACTGTACTCCAAATGCTTTGTTACACCCCCATCACCAAAAAGAACTAGCTATGCCTCTGTTTAGAAGGGGCTGCAGCACATTTTCGTTTAAAAACGGTAGAGTATGCTTAAACGCCGATGGGGCCATCTATGGGTATCAGTAAGAAGACAGAGGGAATGTTCCGAGCTGGGACATACATTCCCTCTGCCCGCCTTTGCTGGTCACTCCCCAGGGGCGGGTCCTCCTTGACTGCTGCTCTTATGTGTGTCCATGCCTATGCGCTGCCTGTGCCTCTGCAGTCGCCTCACCACTGTTGCCAACACTTTTTGAGTCATGTACGCCTTGCCCAACAATCCCTTTTCAAACATAAACCAACCCCATATATCCAACAATGAAAATTCTTATACTTTAAATTCCTCACACTAACAGGGATCAGATTTTCATATCAGGTGATAAAAGTGCATATATCATACTTTATATTTTTAAAACTGAATGAAAAAACAATTTCCACTAAATTAAGAAATTTCAAAATCCGATCGTTGATAATATAAGTACTGCAATGGAGTTATACGTAGTATTTTTTCAACTAGTTCCGTCAACGGATAAGTGAGATACATAAGTTTTTTTTTTTTTTTTTTTTTTTTAATAACTTCACTGTTTATTATCCAAATGATTTGAAACTTGGTGGTGTAAACTGCAGTATATGTATATGTAACATTAAAAAATCGCGAAAATTCGATCATAATTAACGAAATTCGCCCCCTTAAGTTCGTTATATCTCTGGTAGTGCCGTCACCAAATAATAAACAGGCATAACACAATGTAAACCTCAGCAACAAATATAAAAAAAAAAAAAGTTATCCGCTGCTAAATTCAATCTCATCTAAGGTTAACTCTACTTTACACTTTATCTCGACTTATTATAAATTAACAATCCTTGACATGATGAGAATAGATACATGTATGGGGCAGGATCGAGACAACCATTTCATCAGTATCTTTCCATTCGAAATGAATAATATTTCCGCATGACTTGGTCAACTAGAACAATTCGATGAATTCCGTTGCTATCCACGGTTAAAAAAAAATAATAATAATAACTAAAGAAACCGTTCCTATCAACAAGGCATCATGGCGTGTTTTCGTCACATATTTTCTCAACTTTTTCTTTTCTCTGTGTTCGGGGCGAAAGTCGAGACTTGTTTCATCTATGAAAATGCAAAACATAAACATTCATTCAAATATGTTTAGATACCTATCAAGCATGACAACCTCCAATACCCCAGGGCAAAACACGAATATTAATACCAGCACAACACACACGTCTATTTGACACGAAATGCGAGACTCGTCTGACGAGAACGAACGAACGGACGAAACGGGTAAAGGAAGGGAATAAGAGTGGGGGGGGGGGAGGAGAAAATTGTTAGAAAAAGAAATGTGTTAGAATTCGTCATATATATATATATATATATATATATATATATATATATATATATATATATATATATATATGTGTGTGTGTGTGTGTGTGTGTGTGTGTGTGTGTGTGTGTGTGTGTGTGTGTGTGTGTGTGTGTGTGTGTGTGTGTGTGTGTGTGTGTGTGTGCATGTGTGTGTGTGTGTGTGTGTGTGTGTGTGTGCATGTGTGTGTGTGTGTGTGTGTTTGTAAATGCATGTATGAATACATGTGTGTGTGATTACCAGAGCTGGAATTCTACGGAAATTCGTCTGCTAAACGGAAACAAAAGACGACCGACGGATGATGACGTCACTACGGATTTTTTTTCCGTAGGCTTTATGTTTGAAACCAAACTGCTACGAACTGATATGAAGTGGCAGACCGAACGTCGTCTTGGCAGAAATTTCATCCAATGTCACCTCAGATGGGTCTTCCAGCTGAGCATCACCAAAGGCAGAGCTACAGTGACTAAACCTTCAACTGTGTAACATATTATGAATAGTCGTATACAGTTTTTTAGATGAATCAAATTTACGATATTGATGTATTTTCTGAAGTTATACATCTGGTACATTAATATAAAGAGATGCGGGTGCAATTTATGTTGTTGGATGTTGTAAGATTATTGGTTTAATCATATATCTATTATATATTGATTTATGCAGTGCAGTAAACCAGAAATTACCGCAGGGAATCCTATAATCATCGTACTCTGACCCAACGCGATGTGACTGTAATCTAAGATTCATCCGTTTATAATAGTGTAACGTGGTTCAATCTTATTATCTATATCCATTTTCTTTGACATCTCATGTTTATAAAATGGTAGAAATGCTGCTACCAAAAAGCCTGGTTATTATTGTATGATCCATCAGTCACAATCCGTACAAAAAACGAGAGGTTCTATCTGACTAACTAAACTATTCTGACCTAAATTGAGCTATGCACAGAACTGCAAAATACATTTAGGATGTGATTGAATTCCATGTATTAGCTCTTCCTTTGGTGATCTTGGTATCAACTGGGATATATTCCATATTTTAAGAACAAAGCCAAATACTGACGGACAATATTTTTTTTCCTTAATGTTTTTTTTTTTTTTCTCTTTTCGTAATTGCCTTTGTGCTGTGTGTGGCAAGATTAAACAAGAAAGATAAGCAATAAATAACATTCATATCTCATAACTAAAAAGCAAAAGAGAAAGAGAATTAAATATTAAGCACTGTTATCTCTATCAATACGGTATCATTATTAATACAATCATTAATACCATTTCATCTAGAAAAAAATACAATGAAAAATAAAATAGTCTACCATCATCGCCCCATTTTCTACGATGCATGACATTTCCCATTTTCTGTAATAAGAAGCTACATGGCGATTTTCTTATCAGTGCTCTTAACATTTGCCCCCCCCCCCCACATCCCCCGTCACCACTTATCACGTGTATCTCTCTCATGAAGACTAAAACATTAGTATAGGAGATACTGTGCTTAACTACGCAACTGGCAGTCTCTCAGCAAGTACCGAATTGGACGTGTTCAAAACGTGTAAAACAGTCCACATACCTGAGCTGACTTCAAACCTTCAGTTTCTTCGTGAACAGCAAATGAACCGGTGTGTTTGTGTGTGTCATTTCAACATTCGTTTTCTGGGGGCAAGGTCGGCGTGGCGAGCGAACGCAATTATATACATCGGCTCCGTGAGATTTCTTTTGTTTTTTTCTAAGCTATTTTAGGGGTACTTTTATGCGACGGCCAGCTCTATAGAGATGTAATTTAGGAGAAAAAGACTTTGAGGGTTTGGTGGTTGAAGGAGGCAGAGGTAGAGGAGGCGATTACCCCCCCCCCCTCCCCTCCCCCCCCCCAGATGACGCCCCTGTATTTTTGTAACTATTTGAAGTGTGCAATAGCGAACTCAAGTTAATCTTATCACCGGTATCATGTTCGTTTTGTACGATACACACACACGCACACACACACACACACACACACACACACACACACACACACACACACACACACACACACACACACACACACACACACACACACACACACACACACACACGAATACGTCAAATTACAAATCTTGTTTTATATTCTTTCTTTAATTTCTTCATGATCAGCCTGAATTTCCGTACGTGACGTTGCATTTATCTTGAAACTCGTAATGAAAAGAAAAGTGTTGCATTAGTATCTGAAATGTCTACTCTTCGTATTTTGATATCATCATTCTGTCAAACCAAACGACGACTTATGAATGGATGGTAGATTCAGAACCACGTGATCCACGT